GGAATGGGGGATGGGCTGGGGGTAAGGGGAGAGGGTGGGAGGGGGGAGAATAGGGGAACCTGTGGCTGATATGTAGAACTGAATGGTATTGTAAAATAATATATATATATATATATATATATATATATTATATAAATTAATTTTTAAAAAAAGAGAGAGAAACTAAAAAAAAAATGTAGCCTAGTATTTAGAGTATGGTCTACATTGGAAGAGAAAAAAAAAAAAACTTCCCTCTCTCTAGCATTAAAACCACCCCCAAACGGTCTAGACACATTGCTAAATATAATTGAAAGTAGTTGGATATTGCAGACAGTGTAATTTTTTTTCTAAGATCAGAATGCCTTTTTTTCTAAATTAAGTCCTCACTCAGTTAACTGAAATTCTTTCTACAAGAAACTAAGTGACCATGTGGATACATGTGATTGCAACAACTACTCATGGACTTGAACTCCCAGGTAAGAAGTAGAATGAGAACCTAATGACCTCATTTTTTAATGAAAAGATATGGGAGGGAAATTAGCCTTTCACAAATCATGAAAGACTGATGCTTTTATATTTAAGAGACTGAGCTGGAAACTTTGGAGAGAGTGCTCTGAGAATAAGATGTTTGAAATTGTGATTAAGGAAGAATTTCAAGTTGGGATAATGACAGAGTCCACAGCTAATGAAATAGGAGGGAGCATAAGACTGATTAGAGGAGCCAGGCCTGACGAGGGAGGCTGAGGTCAAAGAACCTTGAGGGTAAGGTCAACCTGTTCTATAGAGCAATTTCAAGGCCAGTCTGATAATTTACCTAGACCTTGTCTCAAAATAAAAAGCTTTGAAAAGAGAACTGAGAAGACGATATAGCAGTGAAATGGAAATATATACAGCTGGTAAGGTTGATAACTGTGACAAAAATATTTTGGAAAGTGTGTGTAGTTGGGCACAGGAGCTGGAGATGTTGCTCAGTGGTTGGCCGGGTTGCCTAGAATGTAAAGGCCTGTGGATTTGATCCCTAGTACTGAATAAAAGAAAAAAGGGGGGAGAAGAGACAGAGGAGAAGGAGGAGAAAGAAGGAAAGAGAAGGTGGGGGAGACATTGCATGTTAATTCAGAAGGCACACAAAGCACCAGTGAGCATCTCACAGCAAGGAGTTCAGCAGACATAAATGATGTGTCTTTGGTTTAAATTAAAATACACGTCTGCATCATATTCCCACGGTAACTTAAACTAGATATTTAACACCATTCAGAGCTCTAGGTGTTTTGAGGATTGAAATGTATATTTTTTTAAAACGCTTCAGTAGAACACTCACCTAGGCTGTAATAAACCCTGGGTTCAATACCCAGCACAAAGGAGACTGAATAGGGCAGGGCACCCCTGTGATCTAATTACTCTGGAGGTGGAGGCAGGAGGATCGGAAGTTCAAGGTCATCCTCCACATTCCAACTTTGATAAAGGTGAAATTCTATTTCAAGAGAAAAATTAATTAGTTAGTTAATAAAAATAAAAATGTAACGTAGAACATGTACATAGAATATTCGATTTATAACACTCTCAATAATACTTTCTTCTTTCTTTCTTCTTGTTTTGAGAAAGGCTTTTTCATTATAGTCCTGGATGTCCTGGAACTCACTATGAAGGCCAGGCCTATCTCAAACACTGAAATTTTCTTGCCTCTACCTCCCAAGTGCTGGGATTAATGGGGTGTGCCACCACCATCAGCCTTCTGCCTCTCTCTCTCTCTCTCTCTCTCTCTCTCTCT